TCAAGTCCGGCCTGCCGGTTTCCCTGAATCCCTTCATAAATGTTACTTTGCTCACACTCCAACGCACGACAAGTAATTAAAAACCATTTGTCTCCATTCACTCCTATCAAACACGCTCACGCATGCCTGCTGGAAGTCCAAGCCCCTGCACACAAAACCTCCTTTACCCCTCCCTCCAACCCTTCCTAGGCCGACCCCTACCCCGCCTTCCTTCCACTACAGACTGATACACTCTTGAAGTCATTCTGTTTCGCTCCATTCTCTCTACATGTCCGAACCACCTCAACAACCCTTCCTCAGCCCTCTGACAACAGTTTTGGTAATCCCACACCTCCTCCTAACTTCCAAACTACGAATTCTCTGCATTATATTCACACCACACATTGCCCTCAGACATGACATCTCCACTGCCTCCAGCCTTCTCCTCACTGCAACATTCATCACCCACGCTTCACACCCATATAAGAGCGTTGGTAAACTATACTCTCATACATTCCCCTCTTTGCCTCCAAGGACAAAGTTCTTTGTCTCCACAGACTCCTAAGTGCACCACTCACTCTTTTTCCCTCATCAATTCTATGATTCACCTCATCTTTCATAGACCCATCCGCTGACACGTCCACTCCCAAATATCTGAATACGTTCACCTCCTCCATACTCTCTCCCTCCAATCTGATATTCAATCTTTCATCATCTAATCTTTTTGTTATCCTCATAACCTTACTCTTTCCTGTATTCACCTTTAATTTTCTTCTTTTGCACACCCTACCAAATTCATCCACCAATCTCTGCAGCTTCTCTTCAGAATCTCCCAAGAGCACAGTGTCATCAGCAAAGAGCAGCTGTGACAACTCCCACTTTGTGTGTGATTTCTTTATCTTTTAACTCCACGCCTCTTGCCAAGACCCTCGCATTTACTTCTCTTACAACCCCATCTATAAAATATTAAACAACCACGGTGACATCACACATCCTTGTCTAAGGCCTACTTTTACTGGGAAAAAATTTCCCTCTTTCCTACATACTCTAACTTGAGCACTCACTATCCTCGTTAAAACTCTTCATGCTTTCAGTAACCTACCTCCTACCCCATACACTTGCAACATCTGCCACATTGCCCCCCTATCCACCCTGTCATACGCCTTTTCCAAATCCATAAATGCCACAAAGACCTCTTTAGCCTTATCTAAATACTGTTCACTTATATGTTTCACTGTAAACACCTGGTCCACACACCCCCTACCTTTCCTAAAGCCTCCTTGTTCATCTGCTATCCTATTCTCCGTCTTACTCTTAATTCTTTCAATTATAACTCTACCATACACTTTACCAGGTACACTCAACAGACTTATCCCCCTATAATTTTTGCACTCTCTTTTATCCCCTTTGCCTTTATACAAAGGAACTATGCATGCTCTCTGCCAAATCCCTAGGTACCTTACCCTCTTCCATACATTTATTAATAATTGCACCAACCACTCCAAAACTATATCCCACCTGCTTTTAACATTTCTATCTTTATCCCATCAATCCCGGCTGCCTTACCCCCTTTCATTTTACCTACTGCCTCACGAACTTCCCCCACACTCACAATGGCTCTTCCTCACTCCTACAAGATGTTATTCCTCCTTGCCCTATACACGAAATCACAGCTTCCCTATCTTCATCAACATTTACAATTCCTCAAAATTCCTCCATCTTCCCAATACCTCTAACTCTCCATTTAATAACTCTCCTCTCCTATTTTTAACTGACAAATCCATTTGTTCTCTAGGCTTTCTTAACTTGTTAATACTCACTCCAAACTTTTCTTATTTTCAACAAAATTTGTTGATAACATCTCACCCACTCTCTCATTTGCTCTCTTTTTACATTGCTTCACCACTCTTTAACCTCTCTCTTTTCTCCATATACTCTTCCCTCCTTGCATCACTTCTACTTTGTAAAAACTTCTCATATGCTAACTTTTTCTCCCTTACTACTCTCTTTACATCATCATTCCACCAATCGCTCCTCTTCCCTCCTGCACCCCACTTTCCTGTAACCACAAACTTCTGCTGAACACTCTAACACTACATTTTTAAACCTACCCCATACCTCTTCGACCCCCTTGCCTATGCTCTCATTAGCCCCTCTATCCTCCAATTAGCTGTTTATATCTTACCCTAACTGCCTCCTCTTTTAGTTTATAAACCTTCACCTCTCTCTTCCGATGCTTATTCTCCTTGTATCCCATCTACCTTTTACTCTCAGTGTACTATAAAACTTGAAATGATTGAATATCTGTGGCCCCTTTCTAAAAACAGACTTCCTAAGTCTATAAACAGTTTTATCACCAATACATAATCCAACAAAACTGTCAATTTCGCCTAATCATATCGTGTATACTTATTTTCCTTTCTTTTTTTTAAAAATATGTATTACCTTAACTAACCCCTTTCATACAAAGTTCAATCAAAGGGCTCCCATTATCATTTACACCTGGCACCCCAAACTTTACCTACCACACACCCTCTCTAAAAGTTTCCCTACTTTTAGCATCAGGTCCCTACCACAATTACTCTCTCACTTGGTTCCAAAGGCTCTCTATACTTCACTTAACTCTCCAAAATCTCTCTCTCCTCCCTGCATTCCTCTCTTCTCCAGTGCTACACCTTATTATGACCACTTCTCGCATCCAACCTTTTACTTTTTCCACTATAATTCTTGAATTTACACATTCATTTATTCTTTTTCTCTCTTCCATAATGATCATTTAACATTACTGCTAGCAACCTTCCTTTGCTCTAACTCTCCTCAGATACTCCAGATTAATCCCATTTTATTTCCCCCCACTGAAACACTCTCCTACCCCCTTCAGCTTTTGTTTCGCTTAGTAGCCAGGACATCCAACTTCTTTTCATTCATAACATCAGCAATCATCTGTTTCTTGTCATCCGCACTACTCCACGCACATGTTAAGCATCCAGTTTATAAAGTTTTTCTTCTTTTTTTCTTTTTTAGTAAAGGTATACAGGAGAAGGGGTTACTAGCCCATTGCTCCCGGCATTTTAGTCGCCTCATACGACACGCATGGCTTTACGGAGGAAAGATTCTTTTCCTCTTCCCCATGGACAATAAAGAAATAAAAAAGAACAGAGCTATTTAGAAAAAAGGAGAAAAACCTAGATGTATGTATATATATATGCATTGTGCGTGTCTGTGAAGTGTGACAAAGTGTAAGTAGGAAAGCAAGATATCCCTGTTATCTACGTGTTTATGAGACAGAAAAAGAAACCAGCAATCCTACCATCATGCAAAACAGTTACAGGTTTTTTTTTTGTTTCACAGTCATTTGGCAGGACGGTAGTACTTACCCTGGGTGGTTGCTGTCTACCAACCTACTTATATATAAATATATATATATATATATATATATATATATATATATATATATAAATATATATATATTATATATATATTATATATATATATATATATATATATATATTATATATATATATAATATACATATATATATATTCAGATTGAACTTCACGACATAGATACTGCAACAGTGATTTTCAACTTAGCAAAATAACCGCCGCTTTAGTAGCTACGTTTACAAATACTGGTTATGTAACTGGACACGTCCATGGTTGATGAGAATGTGTTTGTCGTGATACCTATATACTGAGTTAAGTATACGTATGAAGATGAGTTAAGTATAACTGAATTGTAAAATATAGTCGTGTGTAGGGTAGGGTAGTTTCTGCAGGACCGATTTGTGGGGCAATTTGGAGTCGCTTGTGTGGATGATAATGGTCAGCCAAACGTATGAAAAACATTAAAATTTAGAAAAATATGCAAATCTCTTAGATTATGAAGTCATGTAATACTGTATTAGTAAAATATTGCATGCTCTGTGTGACTCATAAACATATAAGGGTAACTGATATCATTGATATATTATTGCAAAAAACTTTGCTTTAGGGGTGTGTTCCTCTGTGTTACATAAATAGTTTGAAAAACCGTCAAGTCGATGAATGAAACACTTGTCTACAATTTGGTTGTCTTTAAAGATACCCAGATGTTGCACAAGTTTCTCTGTGTTTTAGTTAATGAACATTTGCTTTGTATCCACAGGTTATATCAACGAGAACACGCCCAAAACAGGTTACTTCTTCGCCAGCTTCTTTCTTGTGTCTGGTGCTTCGTGCCTCTTCTTCCTCAACTACTTCAAGGAGCGCCTGGCTAAGCATGACACCAGTGTTTCTTTCACGACGGTCGACTCCCACGTTCCCCACGAACCTTATGCCTTGCCAGTAGAGAATGGTGGAGGTGGTGGTGGAGGTGGTGTCAGTGGCAGTGGAAGTGGTGGTGTCAGTGGTGGAGTTGGATGTGTGCAAAAGACTGGTATGACAGCGTCTCCCCAGATTGGTGGTCCGGTGTGTACTTGTGGAGCGGACCCCAGCGCGCCGCCCCCAATCAATCCCCAGGTGTATGACCCCAGCAAAACACAAGTCTTCAATAAACTGGGCAAAACTATCTCTTTCGCCAGTTCGGTGGACGTGATGGAGCCACGCCTCAAGCCAGAGCTCCTAACGTGCATTTCTGAGGAGGGACTCCTGGACAACTACTATGACTATGTGGGCCAGTGTAGCAGTTCTTGTAAATACGATAATGTCTTTTTCAATGACTGTCAGGACAACATGGACTTCGATGCTGAGGACGAGGATGAAGAGCCCCTGTCGAGGCCGCTTCAACCCAAAGTACCGGTGAACCCAGCGGGAAGACGCTTGCGCCAGACCAGTGGTGTGAGCTTCAGCGAGCCCGAGGGCTTAGCTAGGCTGGGTCAGGTGAGCGGTAGTGGTTGTGTTGGTGTGAGTTCTGCACGTTCGCAGCCTACCCACGACTGCAGTGTGTCCCCGATGCCACTCCCTCCCATACTCCGGCGTGTGCCACCTTCTCGCCCTCGGCGAAACATCACCGTCATAGAAGAGATGACGACTTCGGTGTAG